CCACTTTATCATCTGTGTTCGATGCTCCGCCATCCCAGCTTGCTGTTGCCGCAATGCCGTTGAGGGTTTAGGGTTTGTGGGGTGTCAGGGTGTAGGGTTTATAGGGTCTAAGGTTTAGGGTTTAAGGTTTAGGGGTTTAGGGTAGTGAACTTCCGACTGTGGGCTGATGCACAGGAAAATAGGGTTCCTTTCTAGGGCTCAGAGGCTTTATGGGCTTTTAGCGGTTTACATGGCAGGATGCAAGAAATCCTGGCTTCCATTGAGGGATCTAGGGGTGGGTCTACAAGGGTACTGTAGTTGGAGGATCATGGGACTTAGTAAGTATGGTTATAAGTACCTTAATTGGGGCTATATGTAATTATAGATATAGTGACCCTAATTATCACCCTAGTTACTAAGCCCCCTTCCTTTAAGGGTTCCTGTAAGGGCTCCGTTAAACGGGTCTATGCCTAGACCCCCCCCCGAACTACCCTCTATCATACCTCAAATAGCCACTTTTCAGGGCCACAGCGACTCTATCATAGATTATTAGAGGGCCATTGGGGGGGTCCTAAGTCTATAGGTCCTTCAAGGGTTCCTCTAACGAGGCTGCTCTGGTCTATAAGGATGCTACGGGCGGTTCCTTGAAGGGGTTCCTTTAAGGAGTGTAGTGGGTTTAAGGGCTACTGTTTAGGGTTCAGGGCTTAGGAGGTTTGGGTTTAGGGGGGGGGTTTAGGAATCTTCGGAGTTAAAGGCGACGAGATTAGGGTTTAGGGTTTAGGGTTTAGGATTTACGGTTTAGGATTTAGGGTTTAGGGTTTAGGGTTTAGGGTTTAGGATTTAGGGTTTAGGATTTAGGGTTTAGGGTTTAGGGTTTAGGGTTTAGGAATCTTTGGAGTTAAAGGCGACGAGATTAGGGTTTAGGGTTTAGGGTTTAGGGTTTAGGATTTAGGGTTTAGGGTTTAAGGGTTTAGGATTTAGGGTTTAGGGTTTAGGATTTAGGGTTTAGGGTTTAGGGTTTAGGGTTTAGGGTTTAGGAATCTTTGGAGTTAAAGGCAACGAGATTAGCGTTCAGAGTTTGCGGTTTAGGGCAGAAGCAATGCTTACTTGTCGGGTATCATGGGGCACTGAAGGTTAACCTTTTTGGGATTATATAGGAACTATACTACCCAAAAAGGTTAAAGGTTACCTACTCGACTACTAGGAATGCTGAATGTCGTTGACGTTGCACCTCGACTCCCTACCGTAGGGCTTGAGACTTCGAAGAGGGTGTTGGCGGCTCATTTTCGATACAGCGACTATGTGGGATACTGCTGATGGACAAAATCCTGCATGACCCTAAGGACTCTAAACTACGGGAACTATGGTATATTCCTTATAGTGGGTAATGCAGGATTTCGTCCATCAACAGTAGTCACAAGGCTGTACAAAGAGCACTCAAGAAAAAAACATAATTCTAAGAAGGGAACCCCAAATGATCAGTATAGGTGTTTATGAAGGCCCTTATGTTATTATCGGAGCCTTCAGAATAAGAAACGGTGTTGGGGGGCATATTGTAGTTTAATTCTATTAAGGAGCCCTTTGGACTAATCTTGTTGGTGATTCAGGTTTAGGGTTTAGGGTTCTTAAAGACTGCAAACCAAGAAGGTTGATCCACTGTTCTGCCTACTCAGAAACCGCAGTGCCTGTTCATGGCTAGCTTATTTTAGCCTTGTGGGTTCTGACCATAAAACAGCTTCTCCCAAACAATCTGCTACATTCCAGGGTGAATGTCCGCACCGTGCCCCAGTAGGAACCAATTTCAAAATCCCGAAAGGAAGCCTTACATTATGAAAAATGCTACATTTCGGGTCCAGGCCCTAAACCCTAAACCGTTGTCATATTTATGAAAAATACCACATTCTGGGTCGCCTGCAGCCTGAGCCTGAAACTTTTGCAGTCGCAGCGTACACGATGAGTTGGCATGAGAGCACATCTCTGGGGCGTCTAAGAGTCGTCCTAGTTGCGAAATTCATAAACCCAAAAGAGGTGCAAACTTTCAGTACCCGATGGGAATGGTATCATCCCCTGAACCCTGAACCTTAAGCCTACACCCAAAAGATCCCCAAAGGCGCAAAGAGAACTAATGCCGCTACTGAGTTCTATAACAGTTCGGTTTCAGAGCTCAGTGAGTCTTGGCTGGCGGAAGTCAAGTTCTTGGGACAGTGGAACCACTGTAGTGGTTTAGGGTTTTTCGGTTTAGTGTCATGGGGCTTACTTGGAGGATCATGGGACTTAGTAAGCATGGTTATAAGTACCTGAGTTGGGGTTATACGTAATTATAAGTATAGTCACCTCAAAAATAACCTTAGTTACTAAGTCCCATGACCCTCCAAGTAGGGGGAGGAAGAGCCCTGGACCATGAACCTTAAACCTGCGAATTCTACGACCGCATGTCCCCAAACCCCAACCCTAACCTAGGATACCCAGTAACCTAAGAATAAAAAGACTACTAGGGTTCCTTTAAAGGGGTCCTTTAAAAAGGCTACTATAAGGGATCTATAAGGGTACCAGAATATACTAGGATACCCAGTAACCTAAGAATAAAAAGGCCTCTCTTTTTGGTATTGGGTAACTATATAAGGAGCCTAGGACTACAAAAAGGGAATAAGGGTACTACTGGGCATCCTAGCCCCTAATTTTCGGAAACCCTAAACCCTTTATAGAACCCTTATAGATCCCTTTAAGGAACCCTTATAGATCCCTCAAACGCACAGAGACTCCAAAACCCCATAAGTCAGGAACATGCCTCAAATTATGAGGGGAACCCATGAAGATTTAGGGTATATTCCTGTGGACTTCTGACCCCACCTGCAACTACCCATAAACCTCCAAGTAAGCCTCAAAGTACCCTCAAGGGGTTAGTTTGGGTGTAGGGCTTTTTGGGGGCTGAAGTTTCGGGCTACGCGGTTTAAGGTTTAGGTTCTAGGATCCCCTACAAAAACTAGGATACCCAGTAACCTAAGAATAAAAAGGCCTCTCTTTTTGGTATTGGGTAACTTTATGAGGAACCTAGGACTACAAAAAGGGAATAAGGGTATTACTGGGCATCCTAGTTAAGGTTCTAGGATCCCATACAAAAACCGGTCGAAACAGTGGTTCCCCAGTGCTGATCTCGCCAAAAGGATGCCGTTCGGGTGGACACCGAAAGCAGGGTCCATTTGTGAGGATTGAAAACGCGGAGCCGGAGAAAGCCCTTAAACAGATTAACGGGGCCTTAATGATTAGAATCGGATTTTGGAGATATTATACTAACACTGCAATCGAAACAGGAACTCAAACGACTACATTATCCAGACTTATTGTGTTCAACCTTGCCATTAACTACTTGCTAGGGCTTCAATCCGTGGCGCTCCTGCACCTCATTCAAAGAACCGTGTCGGGGGAAAATGCCCGAGGTGAAATGCTCTCTCAAACGTCGGTTTCGGGTTTTTCTTAAACCCTAGGGCTAAACGAACTTTTGAGCCCAAAGACCATACTATGCAAGGCTTTTGGGCACTTTTGATGCCTAGAGAAAGTGCATCGGACCATTTTGAGCCGGTTTAGGGTTTAGCGCAAGAAGGTGTTCGGGGAAGCTGCGCTGCGCTGTGCAGGTTTTAGCGTTGAGGGAATACATCCGAGTCTCGCAGCACTCGCAATTACGTACGGGGTTTGGGAAATTTAAGCTGAAGAGCCACGCAGACACACCAACAGGAAACCGTAGCAGAGCTTGGTGTTCAAAGGCTTAATTGGATTTCTGGCGTGGGTCGCAAGTTTGGCATGGGATTTGTAGGGCTTTGTGTCTAGGACGGTAGGATTGATGATGTTGGGCCAAAAAAGTGGATTCCAAAATGTTGTGCCGCGAGTTTGAGAGAGGCGGCATTACCTTTGCCAGAGCAGTCGCGTCTTGCGGGCATCTGGCATCCGGAGTCTTGCTGGCGGAGACTCTGATTTGATCCCAGTACCTAGCCATCATGTACTCTCCCAATACTAACCTACTTACAAACACTACTACCAAATTTGTCGGTCCTTTGGACTCTGAGCGAGAATCGATTCCCCAAAACCGCAAGAGTTAGTGGGCTTAGCATTGAGGTTTCAGGGCTTGGTTTCGGGTTGAAGACCAAGGCAGAACCACCAAAACCACAAGCAAAAAGCTAAACTCTGTAGCTTCAGTAATACAAAAGGTAGCTTAAGGCTCTGGCAGGATATGCAAGATTTGTGTTTGTGTGTGAAAGAGATCGAAAGTGACAAGGTCCTCATAATGTCGGGAATAGTGTTGATAGTGTTGATGATATGAATCCTGCATTACCTTAATGGCCCTAGACTATAGGAAGTATGGTCTATTTTTTATCTTGGGTAATGCAAGATTTATGTCATCAACCGTATGTATTGGAGCTGGATCCGGTCTCTATAGCAGAGATGTTGGCAGGTGAAAGGCTTTACAAACTTATGGTCCGACACAGCAACTAACAAACCCTGCACTGCCATTCAAAACTCAGACTGTATACTCCCACCTCAACTCTAAACCCTGGAAGTAGACTCTTGAAACCACCCCTACATCGGCGGGAATAAAGTTTCGTCGCAGTTGCCTATTATACCATCAGGCGGAGGACGCGGAGTACCAGTAAGTGCATTTTGCGTAGCCTGACTGGCGGAGGAACTACTCCACCGGAATAAAATTATGCTGCTATACTGTTCCGGATGGAGGGCTGGATGTAGGAGTCTAAGAGAGAAAGGGACTTGCAAGGTGTTCAATCGCAACATGCAGGAGTACGACGAACTTTCTTCCTGCCGCAGTAGACTTTCAACCCCGAATCTGAAAGCCCCCAAATCCTGAATTTAAAAACCCCAGAACCCCTTAAATCTTGAACCGTTTTGAACCTGGACCTAAACCCTACGCACAAAAACTAAGCCTTAATACTGTAAGCCTTAAGTCCTAATCCTATAACTTTGACCACTTGCAGGGTGCTCTCAGAGGCTCCCCCCGATCTGCACCAACATACTCAGAAAAGGAGCCATGCTGGGCTAAGCAGCAATGCCAAAGCCTCGAGGTCTGGGTTCAGAGTCTGGGGTTCAAGCTTAGGGCTCATAGGGTTTAGACTTAGGGTGTGTGGGATGTGAGGGATGTGAGGCTTACGGTATAAGGCTTTCGAGTTTAGGGCGGGGAAGCGCCTCTTGAACACTACAACCCTGAACCCAAACGAACCTCACTGACAAAACTACCCTCAATACTCTGGTATTCAACGACGTCGACGGACTTTCTCGCACCTTCCCAAACACGTGAACCCGAAGCTCAGAACAAAGAACTACACTCTGGCACAGAAGCTTAAGGGCATGACCTCCATCGAAACTACTACGAAGGCTCCCGTTGTCGGCTTCCATTTTGTATGAATAGGATCGCGAAAAACCATTTTCCCTTAAAATCCCGTGTTCAGAGCTCAGGGCTCAACCACCCTGATACCTACGCCCCACCAAGGTGGGAATATCTATGCTTTGGTCATGCAATCCTTAGCAAGAAACTGTTTATGAGCAAAACAACTTAAAGGATCATGGGACTTAGTAACTAGGGTTATTGGAGTAGCTATGCTTATATTTACTTCTAACCCCAATTAAGAGGCTTATAAGCATACTTACTAAGTCCCATGATCCTCCAAGAATGGACTGCATTGGAGCGCGCCGATCTGCCAGAGCCTGCTGTTCGCAAGAAAGCCCTCTTGAAACCATCAGGGTGTTGGGGTTTAGGGTTTAGGTGTTGGGGTGGTTTGGGATTCAGGGTTTACTTACCTTTGGTCAGTAGGGAATGGAAGAATGGTAGTAACAGTAGCTATAGTTGTACCCCATTCTTCCATTCCCTACTAACCAAAGGTAAGTTTAGGGTTGCGGGTGGCGGTGGCCCTTTGACCAAACCAAAACTCGAAGGTACTTGAATCAGTCCTAAGAAAAGAAGACCAAACCCAATCTGAAACCCTAAAACCCTAGACAACTTCAGCTCTAAACCCTAAACCCGAAACTCCTACACCCCTAAACCATTCCCCCCAAACATCAAACTCCAAGCTCTAACATTTGTTAGAACCCATAAAAGCCCCTGTAAAACCCCTAAAGCAAAAAAACTGACCTATAAACACTAAACCTAATTAGAATCCTCAAAGGTCCGTTTAAAGGGAAGAATAGAACCTTTAAAGGCACCTCAAAGGGAAGAATAGAACCCTTAAAGGCACCTTCAAAGGGCCGCTTAAAGGCCCCTTTAAAGGGAAGAACAGAACCCTTGAAGGCCCTCTCAAAGCGAAGAATAGAACCCGTAAAGGCTCCTTTAAAGGGAAGAATAGAACCCTTAAAGGCCCCCTTAAAGGGAAGATTAAAGGCACCTTCAAAGGGAAGAATAAAGCCCTTAAAGGCACCCTTAAAGGGAAGAACAGAACCCTTAAAGGCCCCTTTAAAGGGAAGAATAGAACCCTTCAAGGCCCCTTTAAAGGGAAGAATAGAACCCTTAAAGGCCCCTTTAAAGGGAAGAATAGAACCCTTAAAGGCCCCCTTAAAGGGAAGGGGCAGGAGTGACAGCAGCCATTGGAGCGGCTAAGCCACTGAGACCTCCCAAGGAGCGAACCACTTTAGACTTTGCTATACTGAACTTAGAACCCTAGCAAAAATCATAATTGTCGCTGTTTCTTAGGGATTATACTACCCAAAAATTAAAAGATATTTCTAAGTACCCCTAAGTTTGCGGGAGTTTAAGTTTCAGGCTTTGGGGTTTATGAGGCTTTAGAGTTTATCAGGCTTAGAGGCTTAGGGTTTATAAGGGGTTTATAAGGGTTTGTAAGGATTTAGGGGTTAGGGCTTAGCGGCTTAGGGTTTAGGGTTTAGGGTTTCGGGTTTAGGGTTTAGGGTTTGGGTTTAGGGCTTAGGTTTATCAGGCTCTGCGGTCTAGGACTTAGGACTTGTAAGGCTTCAGGGTTTAGGCCCTATGCGCTAGACACTTTGAACGCCTGTAAGCCCTAGACCCTACGGGTCAACGTATTGAAGGCTTACACTTCAGATTTAGCGGTTTAGGGTTTAAGGTTTATAAACGGGCTTGAAGGAATGTTGGTGGTTGAGGGGTCCAAGGGTTTGAGATGCTCGGATTTCAGAGTCTGGGACGAGGAGTTCAGGGTGGAGAGCTGAGAGGATAGAAGCTGCCCCCACCCTGTAATAGTGACTTTAAGGATTATATAGGATTATATTAGGGCCCTATTATATTCCTATTATACCACTATTACAGGGTGGGGGCAGCTTCTAACTGAGAGGCTTCAGAACTGCTACACTCCCGCGCCCCCGATACTAGAAATTGCGGGTTTCAATGTTTAGGGTCGGGAGAGTTTAGGATTTGGGCTTTACGGCTGTAGCAATCACGGAATCATCGAGGGTAGCATAGGGGCCCAAGTTAAGTGACTGGCAATACCATGTTTTGGACACCCCGAAACCTTAGAATACTCGGTGAGAAGACTAAACACGGAAATTGTTCCAGCAAGAGTTCGGAGGCTTTGAATTCAGGAGTTCTTAATGGTCCCAAAGGGTCCTTTGAACTGTTATGGGGGATACTTCCCTAAGTCATAATTGTAATTCCTGATATGGGAACCCTACATTCTACTATATCGGTACCTGGGACCCTTTGGGGGTTTCAACCCTGACATGGCCTGAGCGAAACCCTCGTAGAAACCCCACCGGCCACAAACCCTAAAGATCCCATAGACAACTCTAACTAAACCCACGAGTAACCTAGGAATGAAAATGCTGCCCTTTTGGGTTTAAAGGGTGCTATAAGAAAACCTGAACCCTAAAAAAGGGAATAAGGGCCTACTCTAGGTCCTAGCTAATGAACCTTGTAAGGGCCTTACACAACCTCTTATAAAGCCGATACAGACAGAAGTCCCAACCCTATACCCAAACCCCAACACCCCAAACCCAAGCCCCAAAACCCTAAACCCGCAACCCAAGCCCCTAAACACCCTAAACCCGATACCCTCAAGACAGGATAAAAAAGAAATTGTATACCATGACAGCGCAGCTTCTTGTTAAATAGAATTGTGATGCTAGTGAAACAGCCTGAATGAAGGAACAGACTGTGAAGCTCACATTTCACCTTTCAGAAACGTCCACCACAGTAACCCTTATAGTACTAGTAACCCTTACGAGAACCCTTAAGGGAACCCTTAAAGGGAGCCTTAGAGGAACCCTCTAGGGCGGCACGGCAGGGCAGGCTAGAACCCAGGCCCAGGCACTCAGCCCAGAGCGCAAAGCCCAACCAACTTAAAGGATCATGGGACTTAGTAACTTCGGGTTCCTTTAAAAGGGGTCCTTTTAAAGGGATCTCTAGGGGTTCTATAAGGCGGATTCTAGGGTCTACTTAAACGATCATGGGATTTAGTAACTATGGCTATAATGGGGTAACTATACTCATAACCCCGCATAACCCCAATTAAAGTACTTTTCACCATACTTACTAAGTCCCTTTAAGGAGCCATATTAGAGAGCCCTATAGTACCCTAAAAAGGGAACCCTAAACCATACTTACTAAGTCCCATGATCCTCCAAGTAGACCCTAAACCCTAATCCCTAGAGATCCCTTTAAGGAACCCTAGAGATTCCTTTAAGGAGCCTTTTCAGGAACCCATTACTTACTAAGTCCCATGATCCTCCAAGCAGAGCCCAGAGGCCCCCCAAGCCGTAGCCCTGAGCCCACAGCCTGAACCCTGAACTTTAGGGTTTAGGGTTTAGGGTTTAGGGTTTAGGGTTTAAGGTTTAGGGTTTAAGGTTTAGGGTTTAGGGTTTAGGGTTTAGGGTTTAGTGGTTTAGGGTTTAGTGGTTGGGGCGGGAAAGCCCTAAACCCCTAAAGCAATCCGCCCTATAGAGGCGCTGGGTACAGCGCCTCCCCCCGAGGCCGCATCCGCAGCACCGCATCCAGCCACTCCGATCGACCACTCTGCACAACCTCGCCGGAAGCATGAAGGGGTTTGGGGCTTATAGGTTCAGGTTTTTTTTAAAGTGTAGTGGTCACCGCATGGCTTCCTGCTTGTACGAGCATACACTAGGTGACACGTTTAGGGTTTAGGGGTTTGGGGTTTGTAGGGTTCGGGGCTTTTAAGTGTAGGGTGTAGGATGTAGGGCTTAGTTTGAGCCCGCTCTCCGCCGGCCGCTGGCGCTGGACCTATAGGCCCTCAGCGAGTGAAACAAAACCCTCATCTGGGTTCAGCGCTTAAGATTTGGCGTGCCGGCGTTATGGCTTGATATAGGGACCTTAGCAACTGCAACAATAAGGTTTCCGCGCATATTTCGAATACTATTGTTATAGCACGGAAACCCGAAGATAGAATTGGTAGTCATGTAGGCCACCCCCTATATTGGGTTTAGGTCTTCAGCGCTCTCTAAACCCTAAACCCTTGAAGTTTAGGATTTAGATTTTGGGTGACGGAGCCGACGATTCCTATGTAGGAAAGTAGACATGGCCCTACTTGGAGGATCATGGGACTTAGTAACTAAGGTAATTATTAAGGTAACTATACTTATAATTACTTATAACCCCAATTCAGGTACTTATAACCATGCTTACTAAGTCCCATGATCCTCCAAGTATACATCCAAACCCACTTGTTGTGGTAGGCATTCTTGAAAGAAGTGGCACCTTAACAGATCTGTCTGATGTGGGGGGCATTATAATAGTAATTAGAGCAAATGTGATTTATGTAAAGCGGGGATGTCAAGAGAAAAGGAATATTGGTAAACTTTCCGATTAGTAGATCATCCTTTGTTAGTGAACACTCCCCAGGACAACCCTGATGAACTGTTGTACGCAGAGAGCTCAGGAACGCTTGAATTGCATACCTCAAGGCTTTTGCTTCTGGGGTTTAAGCTTCGAGTTTAGGGGGTTGGGGTTTAGGAAACCTGAGTCCCACACCCTGAACCCTAGACCCTGAACCCTGAAACCTGGACCTTACACCCTAAAACGCATTTCAACCCTAAACCCAGAACGTCATGATGCCTCATCGCACAGCACCCTCTCAAACTACCCCAGCAAATCTTAAGGCAGAAACTGAAGGTCCAACATACCCCAGTACACCTACCAAAGGCTTAACGAGAAACATCGAATCTCTTCAAAACCCAATGAGCCAGCTAACCCTGAACCCTAAAAAACAATAATCTACTATAATCTACGATAATATACTATAACATACTATAATATACTATAATCTACTGAAATATACTATACTAGACTATACTATACTATAATATAGTATCCTATACTATAAAATACTATACTAGAATATATATAACATACTATACTATACTATAAGATACTGTCATATACCATAATATACTATAATATACTTCACATATCTATCATATACTATAATATACCATAATATGCTATAATATACTATAATATACTATAAACATACTCTAATATAACATAATATACCATAATATACTATACTATACTATGATATACTAAACCCAGCAACTCCTAAACAGACGCGGCCGGCACCTCCGTCACAGTAGGACTGCGAAACTGGTGCATTCCCGGAGCCACAAGCCTGCATACGGGCTTCGGGTTTAGGGTTTGGAGTTTTAGGGTTTAGAGGGTTTAGGGCTGAGGGTTTAGGGTCTAAGTCTAGGGAGTTTAGGTTGGCAGGCCAATACCTAGCATTCATATACTCTGCCAACTTGCCAACCTACAAAACCACTATCCTACATCCAAATGCAATTCCATTAGGTCCTTTGGACCGTTATGATTTAGGGTTGAGGGTTTGTGAGCGTTCGTCAACGGTTCTCTACAGGTCACCCGAGGGTTCTTTAAGGGATCCTGCAAGGTTCCTTAAGGGTTCAACAAGTTTGGCGCCTTTAAGGGATCAAGAAAGGATTCTTTCAGGCTTCGTCGCTGCGGATGCTACAAAACTTCTTGAAAGCTTCGGTAAGGAATCTGATAGGCTCCTTTCAAGGGTTCTTGAAAGTGTGCACCCGTAAAGCTCGACCTCTACTTGGAGGGGCTTTTGGGACTTAGTAAAAGTTCTTAAAGGGCTCCTTATAGGGATATCTACGGTTCCTTAAAGGGATCTATGGCGTTTAGGGTTTAGGGTCTACTTGGAGGGGCAGGGGACTTAGTAAGTATGTTATAAGTAGGGTTATAATTGGGGAATTTAGGGTACTTATAACTCTACTTATAACCTTCTTACTAAGTTCCCTGCCCCTCCTAGTAGGATATACCGAAGAGGTGGCATCGGGCTTCTGGTTCAGGGTTTTGGTCTTGGGGCTCAAGTTTAGAGCTTGCCGTAAACTGTTTTAAGTTCAGAGTTGGAGAATAGGTCGCAGTGTTCTTCACCCACTGCGATTCGGCGTTGGTCTGGGCTTCGGATCGCAGAATATTCGAGCTCCAGCTTGCTACTATCAAATAGGAGCCTGTACAAGTAAAACTAGGTTTAGTGTATCTTTGTATTACCATTTGTTCAAGCAACTGTACTGAATTCTTTTCAATTCCATGTAAGAAACTCTTCTTTCCAGGCCGGGAGCTTTAGACAACAACTTGTAATCCGAAAAAAACCTTTCGCTCACCACCGCGTCTGCGGAAGATGCGGCGTCCCAAGAAAGGGACGGCACCTGAACGGTCCTTCAGGAGTTCTCCGGTCAGCTTGAGCTTGTACCGTTTCTGAAGATCTTCGAAAAATGTTCTTCCCGCCTTGGGGTACTCCGAACCCAGAGGGTCCATATACACTACTATGATGGAATTAGGTCCCCAAAACCATGATGGGCATGGTCTTTTAGGGCCTAATTCCATAATAGTAGTGTATATGGACCCTCTGGGGAATACATCAGAAGATCGTCGACGTAGAAGAGGACTATGGTGAGTCCCTTGGAGGTCTTCCGCCTGAAAATGGTCGGAGCGAGACTCGGCTCAAATCCGCCATCCCGCAGATAAGAGCTTAACTCGTGGAACCACGACAGAGGGGCTGTTAGGGTTTAGGGTTTAGGGTTTAGGGGTTTAGGGTTTAGGGTTTAGGGCTGACCTCAGCCAATGCATAGCTTTCTTCCGCCGCAAGTACAACTTCGCGCCTGCTTCAAGCGCAGTCATAAGTTCGCGTCTGGGAAGCAAGCCGCGGGTCTCTCGAAGTGATGGGCCGCATTCCAAGAGTGCGCCGAGTTTGCGGGTTTTGTTGGCACTGTATGTAATTACTCCAAATGGCGCTTTCTGATACACTAAATCCCCTCATCCTTCCGATAGACCCGAAAATCCTCACAGAACCCGAAGCCCCAAACCAGAATTTTTCGGTGGTGCCAAGGCCGTGGAGTCGGAAAGAAAGCTCAGTGAATCAATGGCTCAGGAAGTACTTGTAAGAAAGATTCTTTTCATGATTTCAAGATGTCAAAATTCAAGTCTTATTAACAATATAACAAGTGTTTGATTGTTTTGTAGGTTCTCTCATTGCTTGTCACGATTTAGGATTGTCATGATCGGAATCTGTGAACACTGGAGCCCCAAGCCAAAAACCACACACTCAAAGCCCTTGGTGCTAAATCGTACATTGTACATCCCAGAAAAAAAAACTACCACCCCCCCCCTTTACCCACCCTCCATTGTTCAAGCATCTCCAAATTCGGGGCTAAAGATGTTAACAAGCAACAGCGCGAAACCAAAGAAAACCTAACCCCTATAAACCCCCAAACCCTATCTGCTCTAATGTAGGGGCCTTGATAATTAGAACAGAGCTTCGGGGCCTATCATACTATAAAAGAAGTAAGGAACCCCAAAAAAGTATTGGGAATGATTTAGGCCCCTCTTCAACCCTAAACCCGAAAGCCAGGCACACCTTGAGGACACGCCCGTCACAGTAGCTTCCCTGGAGCCTCAGCTCTGCCCCATCGGTTTAGGGTTTAGGGTTTAGGGACTTGGGTTGTCTGGGCTTTACGATTTCACAAGCAGGCTATAGTTTGCAACCGAATGTCAATCGGCGCATGGCCTCTTCTTACGGCAGAAAAACCTGCAACAAATACTCACCGAAGCTGAGCGTCAAAACTGGACGTAAGAAAAGCAAAGGGGATCGATTGCTCTAAGTCGGGCTTCACTAATGTAGCCTCGACCCAGAGAACCTACGACCCCTCGATAAAAGAATGCTTAGAACTGAAATTAAGGAGCCCTATTTTCGGTTCAAGGTACATTCCTGAATTAATCGGTGTTGGGCTCTCTGGAAATCTCTGATCAACAACCTAAACCCTTAACCCGAACTCTAAACCCTAACCCTAAACGCTAAACTCTAAACCCTAGACCCTTAAGCCTCTCGCCTGGCCCCACAGCAGGTTACCCTATCGCAACACCACCACATATGATGCCCTGGCGCGAGGCCTCCGCAGCACTATCCCCAAATCATCATCCCTACTTGAAGGATCGTGGGACTTAGCAACTAGGGTTATCATTGGGGTACCTATACTTATATTTACATATAACCCCAATTAAGGGACTTATAACCATACTTACTAAGTCCCGTGATCCTCCTCCAAGTGGGTGGTTCTCAAAGTTAAGGTCCTTTCTGGGGTGCCCTAAATAGTAGGTGCCGCATTATATAGAGGACCAAAAAGGGACCATAATTTTGACAACCACCCAAGTTCTATAGAGACTACACCGCCCAAAAACCCGACCCTCAGCTCTGAACCTTCAAAGCAAAAAGTCCTAAGCCCCAAGCGCTACAAAACCAAACCCCGAAAGCCCTAAGCCCGAAACCCTAAGCACTAAACCCTAAACCCCTAAACCCTAAAACCCTAAACCCCTAAACCCTGAATCCTAAGCCCTAAACCCCAACACGAGGCAGGGCGCTTGGATTGGCAGAAGCGCGGCGTACCGCACTCAGCTTCATTCACACCAGCATCCGAGCAAGTGGTGCCACAGTACACGGAGCCCTGGGTTTTAGTATAGGGTTTAGGGTTTTTTTGGGGTTTAGGGTTTAGGGTTTAGGGTTTAGGGCTTTTTTGGGGGTTTAGGGTTTAGGACTTGGGTTGAGCTTGGGGTTTATCGGGGATATAACATTCGCTAGAGGTGTATCCGGGCCAGAAAAGAGGCTTGCGTCCCAAATACCCCTGGACTGACAGTAAACATCACTCAGCAGGTTTGTGCGCGGATCATGAAATGGGTTTCCTTCGTTTTCAAACTCTTCGGGGGCAATCAGGCTGGGTTCGGGATCCAACGAACTCATGAACGAGCAACGCCGTCAAAAACGGTTGCACTGACGACAACGAAAAGCTGCTGTGGGGGTCTTCGAAACCCAAAGCAATCAGAAGAAGTTGTAGCATTCGACCCAGCTGCCCCTGAAGCGGAAGCCAAAGCAGCACATCACTGTTCACCATGTGGCCACAAAACTTCCGCGAGATCACCAAAGGGCATTGGGCTTAGAGCTTTTTAAGGTATTGGGTGTGGGTTTGGTGTTTAAAGTTTAAGGCTTCGGGTTCGGAGTTTAGGGTCTAATGCTTAGGGCTTACCAGGACACCCCAAGTGCCCCTTAGGGTACCTTGGTTCCCTTCTAAAGGGTTCCTTAAAGGCATTGGATAAGGGATCCTTAAAAGGATCTATAGTGGTTTCGGGTTTAGGGTTTGGGGAAGGACCCTTATGGCCCTTTATAGGGGATATTTAGGGTAGGACCAGACTGAAGCTGCTTCCCCACATGAGCTCCGGCAGCATGTGGGACATTCCTCCCTTGGACAGATCCTGCCTGCGCGAACGAAGACTTGCACGAAATACCGAGCCGGAGGTCCTACGACCAAGGCCCTAGCACCGTAACCTCCACGACCGAGGCCCAGTATTCCATCTGCCTGCAAAGGAAAGAAAGTTACTGAATGCAAACGTTTACCGACTTGCTGGCCTTAGCCGGAACTCTATGACGAGTTCCATGCCATGGATGAATGGGTCCTCGGAGGTGGTAGGATAGTTGTTCAGGACCTCAGGTCAGAAACATAAAAATCCATGATTGAGAACTGCACTTGTTCCGGCCGTCTCGTAGAGTTGGTAGATCTTGTCTCCTGCCAATGTGGTGGATGACGTATTAAATTCATTACCGAACTGGCCTTCTCCCACATGCTGTAACAGGGCCAGCTCGCGACGATGAACCTGCTCGCACAAGCTTATTCCGTCGTCGGCTTGTGTCGTTCCCTAGCCTCCTCCGCGCAATCCCTGGACCACCACGCCGGGCACCTGAGTAGCAGTTAAAGCCGGGATTCGAACGTGAAGCACGATCAGGACCGAGGCAAAGACTCGAACTGAGGCTCGTCGCGAATAGTGGTGTAAGGGAAGAAGTAGAGCGGATCTCGCGCGGAAAAAAAAGGAAAAAAGCGAGCTCACAGCTAAGGCAAAAACTCAGACCGCGGCCCGGGTAGCCTGCCATATCGACCTGAAGCGATCAAGCATGAAAAAAGACCGAGAGAACCGACTTCCGAGGACGAGACGAGGACAAAAAGGATGCTAGTTCCGATGCAAAAACAAGCTGCTGCCGATCGCACATGTATGTAAAGACGTGACAGTCGCAGACTAAAAGATCGAGCCCAAAATATCTTAAAATCGGTTCCGTGGCGCTGAAAGGTGAGGACTCGACAATCGACTACCAGAAAACACCATCCTGTCTAGTCGACTCTTGTTTTTGCTTGCGATTCGAACCGCACTTCTGGCTCAGCTTTCGCTCAGACCCCGCTTGGGGCCTTCAATTTACTTAAACCTCGCCCGAGGCTCGCAACCTCTCAATTTACTTATCCCGCTTGGGGCTCAGCCTCTCAATTTACTTAAACCTCCCGCTTGGGGCTCCACCTCTCGATTTACTTAAACCGTTCGCTTGGGGCTCGGACCTCTCAATTTACTTCGACCTCTCATTTTCCTTAAACCTCCCGATTGGAGCTCGAATGTCTCAACTTATTTCAACCTCCCGCTTGGGACTCAACCTCTCAATTTACTTGAACCTCCCGCATGGGGCTCAGTTCATTCAAACCCGCTCGGAACTCAAGTCTTCACTTCGCCTGTATCCCGTTTGGGGCTCAGTGCAAACTGGAGCGGTCGCAGTTAATGCTGTTCATTTCGCCCTGCAAGACTGATGCGACCATATTAAGTGGAGCACTTTCTTTCTGCGATCCGGGAGCGGTCGCAGTGATCGCAGTTTATCTGCCTCTGCGATACTGCAGCGATCCTAATCGTGGCAGCTTCTCTCTTTCCGCAATGCTGGAGCGGTCGCAGTAATTGCAATCTCTTTCCTCTGCAACACCGGAACAGCCACAGTAACGAAGCCTCTATTCTGCAATCTTGAAGCGGTCGCAGTAATTGCTCTTTAGCACCCTCCTGCAAGACTGATGCGTCCATGGTACTCCCCAACTAGGTAGGGTCACGCTCACTCTGCATCGGAGGTTTCTGCATTGCTCCAACACAGTTTAAGATTTTGTCTCTAAAGCGTTTAAGGCTCATTCCTTTGGGTTTCAACCTGGTCCCTGAAATCCACCAAAACCCATGCAAAACGTAAACCCTATACCCTAAACCTTAAACCATATTAAACCCTAAACCCTCAACCCCTAAACCCTAAGCCCCTAAACCCTAAACCCCAAGCCCCTAAAAGACTTTTGGCCCGGCGTCCGTGCTCTCACCAGCCCCGCAGGTCTTCATGTAGCTGCCGTCGCAGAAGCGGCCGCTGGGCTTCGCCCTGGGATAGCATGGCAAGGAGTCTTTGAGGCAAAGCTGGGCAATTAGGGAAGCGTGGCTTTAAAGTCATGCAGGGTAGGGTTTAAGTTTAAGTTTAAGGTTTGAGTTTAGGGTGTAGGCTTGGGGGTGTTGGGTTCCAGGGGGCGTCAGGGCTCGGCGCCATAGACAGGCTAAGGAGCCTGGTCGTGATTATAATAAAGGCCGGGGTGTTCAGGCTTGCTGGAAAGTTTGCGCATTCCAGACACTGCCCACGTTAGGGTCTCCTCTACTGAACCCCGAATACCAGAAACCTTCAAAACAAGATTCAATCCATGATTCAACGACGAAACATACAAGAACCACAAAAAGCTTTCCAGGACCCTCTTACCAAACCCCACCCTAAACCCTAAACCCTAACGGAGCTTGGCCGAGTTACAAGCAAAACCTGACGTCTCCACAAGCTGCCGACCGCAGCTGTTCCTCTCAATCTCAGGGATCTACTTGCAATTAAGGTGTAGGTTAGAAGCTGCCCCCACCCTGTAATAGTGACTATAAGGATTATACTAGGGCCCTATTATATTCCTATTATGCCACTATTACAGGGTGGGGGCCCCTTCTAAGGTGTAGGGTAAACGGCCGAAGAACCTAGAAAAGGGTTTCTATTGGAAAAGAATTCTAGTTTGAGGGCTGTTTGAAAGGTTTGGGGTTTAGCTTATGGGCCTAGTAAGGGCCATAAGGACTCTATTAAAGGGCCCTTGGGGGGGGTCCTGAGGGTGTAGGGTCTTACAGTCCTGGTGTGCAGGGCTTAGTGGTTTAGTGTTGAAGGGCTCGCAGACTCAGACGCTGCTTGGAGATTTGGGGTGTTAGTTCAACGACTCAAGCGTTTTGGGCTTAGGGTTTAGGTTTTTGTGGGGTCTGAATTTCCGACTATTGGGGTTTAGGGTTGGGAGAGGTCGGAGAGGTAGCTCTAGGCTTCGGGCTTCCGGATGTGGAGTTTAGTTAGCCCTGTAGGGCTTAAGTGAATGAGACATTTCAGGATCCAGGTTTAAGGTGTTGGGGCGTGCCCTAGGGCGCTATGGACTCATATATGGTGCCGCGTCGCCGCGTCGCAGGCCCCCCCCCCACCCCACCCCCCATGGTATCCCCCCCCCCGAAGCCAGGCGTCTCGTCCAATCAAACACACGTCATCCGCGTAACTCCCCCACTCCCCCCCAAAGCCAGGCCTCGCCTCTCGCCTTGGCAATCGGGGGTGGGTGCGGGAGGGATAACCCACAATAGTGGAACCACAAGACGGCGAACCACAGGGGCGGGGTGGGGAAGGATAATCAACACAGGGAACCACCGGGCCCCTTCCCTTCCCCTCTCTTCAAGCACAAATGAGAATGTTGTGCGCAATGATGTTGATGTGCTAGTCCCAGTGTGGCTATTGGTGGTACCTTTGCTCTTACGTTGCTCTGGGCTTCGGCACCGCATGTTCATCGCTTTATCTAGTTGAAAACCGTGCTTGGCTTGTGATGTTCTTGCGAAAACCATATCGACCGTTGTCATTCCAAGCCAAGTTTCGGTTGGGTTCGCTACAAGTAAGCTTGAGCACGTATTTGAATGGTTTCCCTTCGGGACTTTTGAGCAAGGGACCTGATGAGAGTGCGGATGGGGATCATGAGCACCATCTTCGTCATTATCATCACCATCATATTCATCACTATCATTGGCTTTGGAGCTCAGGGCAGGTCGGAGTTCAATAGAATTTTATCACATCCTACGGTCCAAACCCTTAGCAACCGGACGCATAGCCATGGACGGGGGCGCAGCCGACCGCAACCACAGGGGGGAGGGGCAGAGGGGAACCCACACCACAGGGAACCACAGGGGGGAAGGGGGGGATACCATGGGGTGGGGGGGGGGAGGGGCTGCACCATATATTAAGGCTTTTGGGGCCAAAGACCATACTATAAAAGGCTTTGGGATACTTTGATCCCCGGGGGTGCGGCTTTGAAATTTGAGGGATTCAATTCAGGTGTAATCTCTCAGGAGCTCAGTCAAGGCTAGCTTGGAGGGGCAGGGGGCTTAGTGAGTAGGTTATAAGCGGAGTTATAATATAAAACCTACTTACTAATTCCCCTGCCCCTCCAAGTAGCTTGGGGTTGCAGCTTTGCGTTTAGCTCTTGTCATCTGTGGTTTAGGGCGTAGTGGTCAGCATTTGACGGCCGAATAGCGGTCCCCAAAAAGCACATAAGCAAAAGAAAGGATAGGATAGGGATATCCCATATAAACCCCCTTGTAATGAAGCCCAATAAGGTAGGGATATCCCATAAAAAGCTTATGCTTATGTGCTTTTTGGGTCCCTAACCCATGTTTGCCTCTGAACCCTGAATCCCTACGCCGACACCCTAGTAGAAACCAGGAAATCTCGAAAGCCAACGACCCATAAACACGAAATATAGAACGGGGAACTGAGATTTAAGCGCTGTTATATGGTTTTTAAATTCGCTTCAAAGGCCTTGGCTGAGGTTTTGACCGATCGTAGGGACTTGATTTAAAGTTAGGCTGTAGGATTTAGGGCCAGGGACCTACTGTTTTGCATTCATGGTCCGACGCAGTGGATAGAAGGTTGGACAATCGGGGCTGACACGAAATCGGCGCTCTTGGTGTTCCGGAGCTTTCCTTGGTTTTTTTCTATATCAACAGTAGTTCAGGGTTTACGGTTTACCAGGACCGCCCAAGGGGCCCTTTAATAGAGGCCTTGATGGCCCTTAATGGTGGGTATTTAAGCTTCATTAGAGGGTAGTTGGAGGGTCTGGGTAGGGTTGGTCACTTACAAATTCGGCTTAGCAAACGCGGCCAAAGATCCGACCCAAATCCTCAATTCTCAAAATACCCATACTGAACTTAGAACCCTAGCAAAAATGAAATTTAAGCTGTTTCTTAGGGATTATAATAACCAAAAATTAAAACAAAATGTTTCTAAGTACCCCTAAGATACCAGACGAAGACCCTGTATGAGAGAAGCCCTGTTAGGTGCCGCAGCATATTTGGGACCTAAAGAAACAACACCCATTTTAGAGGGCTACCCTTATAGGAAACCCTATAGGAAAGCTTATCGATCCCTTTAAGGAACCAGTAAAAGGGACCCCAATGTAGAGAACTTCTCATGTCCACACCCGCCCTGTGGTCGTCCCCACAAAAAACGATAAACCCGAAATACGAAACCCCTAAACCCCTGAACCCTAAACCCTAAATCCTTGTATCAACAGCCTGAGGCGGGCACAGAGCAAGTGTTGCCTCGGCAGATCTCCACCACCTCACCTCAGCAGAACAATGGGTTTAGGGTTGGGGACGAAGACAGTAATAATTTGAATAGGGTGTTTTTTGAAGGTTCCTAAGCCATGCGTAGGGGTTTACAGGACTTTAGATGCCCATAGTCAGAATACTTGCCCACCTTCTTCGGAAGCCTGCATGTGACACAAGACGTCGAAAACACCGTATCGATCGGGTGAGGATCAAGTCCCATGGGACGATATTCCGCAGGGTTTAGGGTTTAGGCGGGGTCATTTCTTGCAGCCATTTTTCGAAACCCTTCAAGGAATAGCTCGAACTCCTAAGGCTCAAGAACTGGAGCACCTAACCCCTAAACCCCCTGACCCTTGTCCTGCCCTTGTTGTTTCTTTGTGCCTGGTATAGATAGATAGATAGATATATATATATATATATATATATATATATATATATAGGGTCTGGGGTTTACATTTTATCTGGGATGGGATCTCAAAATCTGGGGTTTGGAGGCTGTGCCAGCGCTGCAACGGCAGTAAGCGCACCAAAAGGCAACCGAAACGACAAGCATGACGCTACCGACAATAACATCGCGATAATGAAAAAAGCAACCGCCGCAACAGTAGTGCATAATGGCAGCAGAGTCATGATGAACACAACCGCAAAACGCACAGCTGCAACTGTGAAAACAGTCTAGGGCCTAAGCCCCTAAAACTAAACCCTAAATTCTGCACCAACAAAAGGCTCTTTCTGGCGCGTAAAACCGCAGCCTAGGCCTAAGCTCCTCACTCCTGTTGATCCGACACGCTGTCATTAGGGCTCAAGGTTTAGGGCTTGGGGTTGGGATTCGGGGTTTAGGTTTTAGGGTTTTGGGGTTTACTGGACCCTCCTTGATACGTGAAGGATGTTCTGGCTGAAAGTCTTGACTCATTGATTCGCGGGACACCCTCCAACCACTGAAACCCTCCAGCCCTCATCGCTAAATCACAAACTCTGAAACCTTGCACTGAAGCCCTCAAAAACTCTTGACAACCTGCACCGTGGAACACTCCCCCTGGAACCCTCAACGCCAACCGCTGATGAAGGGGTCTGAACTGCCCGAGCACTCACACGTAGTATGAAACAGGGGCCTTAACGGTTAGACTAGGGTGCTAGGTATCGTATACGCTTACCATAATCGTGTCGATAACAGGACAACTCCACAAATTCGCCACCAAACCCCCCATCGCCCCACACCTCACACCTTTGGGAGCTTCCGGAAACTAGGAGCAATTAGGGGTACCTTATTTTGGGGTCCTTATGATAAGGATCCTACTATTTAGGGTGCTGTATTAGGTCCCCCTATTTTCGGAAACTCCGTAGTGCTCCTGGACCCTCGTAGTCCCAAACCCTAGCCCGCCAAATTCCACCCCTCGCCCACAAAGACCCTAACCCTCTTAGGAGCCTTAGGGTGGTTACCAAGTCCCATGATCCTTTAAGTAAACCCTAAAACCCCTCTTATAGATCCCGTTTTAAAGGAGCCCTTTAACGAACCCTAGTTACGCCTTAAGGCTCGCCTTTGCGTCTTAAGCCCTGAAGCCCTCGCTGTGGCAGGTCGCCGCTGGGACATCTTTTGATCACCTCGCCGTCGCAGTAGTCGCCGTCGAGCTTCCTTTGGGGACTGTGCTTTTAGGGTTTAGGGTTTAGGGGTTTAGGGTTTAGGGTTTAGGGTTTAGGGTTTTTTGAATCGCCCCTTTTTCGACCAGCAGGTACGTTTGCTTGCCAAACATTGACTTGGGGAGGGCAGGCTGGCGTTGTCAGAGTTTAGGGTTGAGGGAAGACGCATGTGTTTAGGGCTTAGGTTTGTGGTGTCGGGCCCCGGTTTCGGCTGCATAGTTTGGGGCTTACATTACTCTTGACATACGAACAGACATAATTGCGCACATACATCCATGCATGCCTGCATACACGTGTATGTATAATATATATATATATATATATATATATATATATATATATATTTATATTTATATTTATATGCATATATATATGTATATATACCTATGCATATATATATATATATATATGTGTGTGTGTGTGTGTGTGTGAGTGAGAGTGTACACATATACATATACATATACATATACATATACATGTGCATATACACATGCATATATATATATATATATATGCATATATATATATATGTGTGTATATATCTATGCATATATATATATGTGTGTGTGTGTGAGAGTGTACACATATACATATACATATACATATGCATATACACATGCATATATATATATATATATAAACATATGCATCTATATATACACAAATCATATGCATGTATGCATATATACATGTGTGTATCACATACGCAAGATACACGCACACATGTCTTGTATTAGGTGACTCAGCGAGTCGGCAGACGAGTGGTTTTGGGAAACATGATGTTCGGTGCCGTTGCAGCGTCGGTTGCTACTTGGAGGTTCATGGGTAGTTTTAATACGCTCCTGGAAGGGATCTATAAGGACTACCTGGAGGTTTGCGCGGAGTTATAAGTAGGGCTGATAAGTAGAATAATTATGCTTATAGCCGGTATTGGGGGACAATTATAGATGGCTCTTTCTGAGAAGTTCAGAGTGTGCATCTGGGTGTTTAGTACGGGCGATACACTCGTACTAAGACCCTACTTCATACGAGCTACTGTCAACATTACTCACAAACATCACAACAGGACACTGTATCTTGACGAGGACAATGACGACCCAAACAGTGGCTGATCCCTAAAAACCCTGCAAGAACTCGTCCGTAAGGCTCTAGTATGCGTCAAACCTCACCACTGAAACCGTATGCGGGTAATCAGGATGCCGGTTCTCTTTTCAAGGCCCAAACCCTATACCCCTAAACCCTAAACCCTAAACCCTAAACCCTAAAAGCTCGACCCTACCCCCAAACCCTAAACCACCTGCTGTACTGTAAGGAACCCGACTCGAAGCCCTGGTTGTATCAGGCCCTTGCCCTTGAGTATTTCAGCTTTCGGTGCATTCGGAGTTCCATAGATGTTCTGGGTTTAGGGTTCTAGGCATCCTCCTGAACTAGACCCAAGAGCAACCTAAGAATTAAAATGGTGCCCTTTTTGGTGTAAAGGGATTTATAAGGGAACCTGAACCCTACAAAAAGGGAATAAGGGCTTTCTCTAGGTCTTAGTGTATGTTGATGACCACGTGAATCCTCTATACTGCATTACTCCACTACAATCCGTGAACCCCTGAACACCAAACCCCAAACTAAGGCCTAAACCCGTGCTTAAAACGAGAAACGTAAAGCCCTGCACCCTGGGTTTAGGTTCGAATCCCCTTTCTGCATCCAGGGGTCGCAGTGCAGAAGTTGGCACTGCCACAGCTTGCCTTTTGGCCGCCGAAGGTTTCTTTAAAAGGCCGCTCTATCGGTTACTACTATAAAGGGGATACTATAAGTATTTAGTATAGAGCTTCGGTTTTTGGAACAGGGCTTGGAGTAGAGTATACGATCACCGAAGGAAGGAACCCAAGGAATGGTTTTCGTAAGCTTCGACACAGGAGTTTTGGGTACTTCGGTTTAGGGATCCTGGACTCTAAACCCTACATAGGGTTTAGGGTTTAGGGTTTAGGGTTAGGGTTTAGGGTTTAGGGAAACCCGAACGCGAAAATCCGAAACCTGAACCCCTCAGCTAGGAAGCTGCTCAGAGGGTTTACGTTTTCGGGAGCCTGTTTCTCGAATTGGTCATTCTGGCTGAGGCTTGGGGGTTGGCTGCGATTTTGAGCGTTGCAGGTGGCTCAGCAGATTGGCAAAAAACTGCGAAAACGTGCTTTTAGGGTGCAGGGTTTTACTGAATCCCCTGGGTTGACAAGGCGGAGATGAGCATTGCTAGAGGCCATAAGACCACTAATCACAAAAAATAGCTCGTCTTTGCACGTCATGCGACAAGGTATGGAGAGACAGTCCCGAAGAAGCCAAGATCTTCTGAATGTAGCCTAAACCCTATAACCCCAAACCCCTAAACCCCTACTGAACCCCCACACGCCTTAACCCCTAAACCGTAAACCCCCAAACCCCACCCCTAAACCGCTAAACCTCTAAACCCGAACCCCAAACGCCCAAAACCCGAAACCATCCTGCAACTCCTAAACCCTCAGACCGTTTGCCGAACTGGGGCCCCGACCCTGCCCGGAGTGAATTCGTCGCAGCCCGCTTCCCTGCAGTCCTGTAGCCGGGAATGCTTTGAAGACCGAGGACTTGAATAGTAGGGTTTAGGGTTTAGGGGTTTAGTGTTCAGGGGTTAGGGTTTAGGGCTTTGGGTAAGGGCCTGAATAATTGGAACAAGTCCGGATAATGCCTTGTATGACTTATATTGCAGGGCTTATGGATGTTCGATGGGTTTTCGTTCGGGGTCGTAATGGTTTTCGGGGTTTGGGCTTCGCACAATGCACCACATGCGAATATGGGAGCCCGGGAATTTCAACGAGTTCAGAGTATATTACGCTAAGGAAATATAAGACAGATAGACAGATAGATAGATAGATAGATCGATAGATAGACAGATAGAGATATAGCTGTAGCTATACATAGCAAGATAGAAAAGGTGAGGATACAGATTTCGACATAGATATGGATATGGGTATAGATACAGATACAGATATAGACATAGATGTACATTTGGATAAAGCTAGGTACAGGTATGCATGAACGAATACATGGACAAATACACCTACATCCACACCTACATCTACATATACATATACATTTAGATACAAATACACATATACATATTCGACACATACATGTATATTCCTATACAATATTACTTACTACTCGACCCTGTACTTCCAAAACCAAACCAGCACACTGACAAAAACTGTCCTGCGTCGACGTCACAGAACTGCTGCTGCAGACCTGCTGCACAACTTCACAATGCCAGAGAGCCAAATGCCCCTGCATTAAGGAATATAGCTTCAATCATAATATGAAGCCCTATTTAATTTAAGCCGTATTCCTTAATCAAGGGGTATTGGGCTCTCTGGGATGCTGCAGGCCGCAGATTGGCTCCATTTCCAACGCAGGTTGGCTTCAGTTTCAAAACGCCCAAGTCGCCCAACACTAAAACCTCAACCCGAAACCTCCAACCCTACACCCCAAGAGAGACCCGACATGCCAAACCCTAAACCAGAAACCCTTGAAGCCTAAATCCTAAAACCTAAACCCCAAAGCTACGGCTTCTGGTGTATGGGATTGTTTGAGTCTTCAGTGTGTAGGGCTCTGGGGCTTTATGTAAGGGTCTAGACCCCACATGGTCAAAAAAATTTACTGCTCGGGAATTGGACCCAAAAAGACCATTCGAATCATGGTCTTGGGAGGGCCTACTTCTATGAAGGTAGTGTATACGGACCCTTTTGGAATCGTAAACCTTAGTTAACGCTTCGGGGGTTTCGGGCTTTCGGGTTTACCTACAGTCTCCATTGTAGCTCCATTTTTTGGTTAACCAAATCTATTTTGTAGGATCCTGAAACATAAACATGAAACTGGTTAACCAAACAAAGGAACAACCATGGAGACTATAGGTATTACAATCAAGGGAGTACATCGAAAATCGTCTGAGGTTCCCATTATGCCTTTAACCCTAAACCCTAAACCCTCAACCCTAAACCCTAGATCTTGAAACGCAAAGCCCGAAGTGCTTTAGGGCTTGGGGGCCAGGGGGGTCGGCGTTTGGGGTTGCGGCTTCAGAAGTTCAGCTGTGTGGGGCGATTTCAGCGGGTTTCGAGGTTTAGGGTTTTAAAGTTGGGTTTGAGGGCTTGGGGTCTGTTGGAGTTTGGGTTTGGGGTTTATGTCTTTGGATTTTAGGGTATCAAGCTCAGGGTATAGGTTTCTTAGCTGCCGAAGTTGGAAGTCCAAAAAATGTACACTCTCATCTCCTGCTACTGCTACTCCATTCTATATGTTAGAATACTCTCCCAAAACGTGTACTCATTCAGCTAATAAGGCTCACTAAGGTTTAGATGTGTCTGACGCTTGGGGTTAGGGTATGGGGCCCGTGCCTTCAGATACCGTCCGTCGCAGTAGCTGCCCGAGATCTTCGCACTGCAGAAGAGGCGATTCCCACATACGGCCTTTGTGAAGGCGCCTATGGGGTTTAGTAGGGGATAATTCTTTACACATGCTTCTTGAAAACAGGGCTACCTTGGTCTCAAATAGGCAGCCTGGGCTATGGGTGTAGGGTTCAAGGCTTTCCGCTAGGGATTAGGAAGGCGGATTCAAGACTTAGGTGCGCGGGGGGGCTCCTTCTACGAACTCCCATGAACCCTAAACCCTAAACCCGACACCCCAATACACCGTAAACCCCGAACACTACAGCTTCAGGGCTTGAGGGGGCGCCACTTCTCAGGGCAACTCACTGGACGTGAGGCTCTCCAAGGACAGCAACACCTAAAGAGGGCTCAGGGTTTGGAGGGGCTTGGGACGTTGGATTTTTCCGGTGGCTTACAGGTTGACAGTTTAGGGCTCACAGACGCTCGGGGTTGAGAATTCATGAGTCATGGCTGACGATGTAAGCAGCACGGGAAGGGAAATTGGAAACAGTGTTCACAGCTAAACTCGAAATCCGAAATGTCGGAGAAACCCACCGCCGGAAATTCAAATCCTAAACTTACACCCTGACCCCTGGCCCTAGACCCCCTTAACCCGAAACGTTTAAGCCCGAAACCGTAAACCTAAACCTCTAAAACTAAAACCAGTACAAATCATTCAGACAAGTAAACGTTGTCAACCCTAAACCTTATAAACTATAGAAGCTAGAACGCAGAACATCAAAGCAACAAAACCCTAAACCCCCAATTCCAGTATGTAGCCACGTTGTAGCAACGTGGTGAACAGTCCCGTTGCTCGCAAACCACTCACGAGCCTGTGCAGCAAGTGGACACGGCACGGCCCTTGGGTAGTACGAACTGCATTGCCATCGCGACAAAGCTACATACGCAGAGTCATGTCTGACATCTGGATTAGCGCCAAGGTTTGTCGTCAACCCAATCAGTGATATGACAAGCATCATGGCAGCAAACGGATGGTAAGAGTTGACATCCGGCCAATCTGCCGCGAGGTCCACCCTGGCACCCCTCGGGGAATTGGCCCGTGCCGGATGCAAAGTCTTGAAACCAGTGCCCACGCATAGATAATGCGTCCTCAGGGCGGGATGGCGTACCGATTCCATCCAGCGCAAGTTTCTTCTCAAGTTTGCCAAACATGTGTGTGCCAACAAACGTTTGATCGATTGTCTTTGGAACTGTCAAACCTCTGGCCTTCATGGCCTCGCACTTGTCGTCGATTCGCAGGATTTGTCTCCGACCAAGGTGTCTGGTCTCCAGCCACAGTGAAAACTTCCGTCCTCCCAAAGATGGGGTCCATGCAAGAAGATGGGCTGTCAATCCACCGGTAGAGTGGTTTAAACCCCCACAGTTCAGTTAATCCGGTAGTATCCTTTACATTTACCCTTGTAGCAACCCTTACAGCGCTCTGATAATATCCCTGAAAGTACCTATCATATTGAGCCCCCAGCCCCTCAACACCCCCAAACCCCTAAAACCCCGAAACCCTCAGCCCTAGTTAAACCTGAAACACTACCAGGACCCCCCATGTGAACCTTTATGGCACTAGTGGGTATTTAGGGTACATTACTGTGTAGTTGGGGTAACCCTCAAGACCCCAAACCCCAAACCCCAAACCCAAAACCCTAAACCCAAAACCCTAAACCCCAAAACCCTAAACCCTAAACCCCTAGAAGGAAGGCTGGGCTCGGTGCATTTCCGAGGCCCGTGTCGCTGCAGTCCCCAGCGCTACAGTACTGCGATCGAGTGACACCACCTGAGATGCAGGTTTAAGGGTGCGGGGGTTTAGGGGTTTAGGGGTTTGGGGGTTTGGGGGTTTAAGGATTTAGGGGTTTAGGGCTCTTTTTGTTAATATCGGCCCTTCCTTTTCCAACGTGAGATGCGGGCTTGGGTCCTTTTGGCCTTTTTTAAGTATGGGCCCCTCTCAAACTGCAGGTACTGCGAGCGCCTGTGGCACCCCTGTGGAGGCTTAGGATTTTAGTGTTTAGGGGTTTAGGGGTTTAGGGGGTTAGGGGGTTTAGGGGGTTTAGGGGGTTTAGGGGGTTTAGGGGGTTTAGGGGGTTTAGGGGTTTAGGGGGTTTAGGGGGTTTAGGGGGTTTAGGGGTTTAGGGGGTTTAGGGGGTTTAGGGGGTTTAGGGGTTTAGGGGTTTAGGGTGTTTAGGGGTTAGAGTTTAGTGTCCTTCTTGCCTTCTTGTTTGATTATGGGGCCTTTCCAACGGCAGCGAGAATTCCTTACCTGTTTAGGGGTTTAGAGTTTAGGGCTTGCGGGTTGGGATTAGGGTTTAAGGGTTTGAGGGTTAAGGGGTTCAGGCCTTTGGGGCTTCTGGACTTCAGGTTTAGGGTTTGGGCCACCCGAGACGCGAAGACGGCTGTTGCAGGTGGCCCTTTAAATTCGATCCTGCTGAAAATATGCTCCAGAAATGCCCTAATCCCTAAACCCTAAAAACCCAAAGCTCTAAGCTTTAAGCCCTAAACCCTAAGCCCTGAACCCCAGGTTTGCATCTTGGAGAACTCAGTGCAGGGTTGAGAGCACAAAAAATGTTCTTACCTAGGGCGCAGTGTTTCGTGCTACCAAAAAACCACTATGTGATTGTACGTAGTCTATATCTATATCCTCCAGACCTCTGATGATTAGAGCCCCTGCTACAGGCTGAGCTTGATTTAGGGCCTAGGCCCGGTTTAGGGTTTAGGGTTTAGGGGGCCTAGGCTAGGAGCAAGATGCTTCACGAGCGTCCTAGGCTTGCGAACGTGACTGCTTCTCACTTTGTTTGGCGGGGAGTTTGGACCGAAAAGCCTGGCCGTGAACATGCTTAAACTGGGTTCTTGGTAAGGGCTTAAATCCAAGTTACCATAAGAAAGAAACCATGGTATTTTCTATAGATCCCTTTGATGGTAACTTACGTTAATTTCCTTAACAAGAACCCAGTGAACCCAACTCGAAGGATCATGGGACTCAGAGAGTAGTTTCAAACTGCGGTTGTGCCAATTCCGAAGTGTGGTTAGCTTGCTTGTAGCCCTGTTTCACAAACTTACTACGTCTCCTGGCCCTCAAATTTTCAAGCAAACCCCCTTTCAGAAAGTAGAACCCTAACAGAACTCCAGTAGCAGCCATCTAGAACCCCTAATTATGGAACCAGGCAGTAAGGTCCAAACCCAAAACCCTAGAACCCTAAACCCTAAACCCAAAAAACCCTTCAAAGCCCTAAAAGCCCCAAAGGCTCTGAAAACCCTGAAAGCCATAAGCCCGACCGGTTCCCCTTCGAGGGGCGGTTTGCGCAGGTGATCAACGTGTCGCCGACGCAATAGTTCCCGTCGCTGATCTGCACAGAGACCCCAAAAACCTTTAATTGAGTAAAATACTCCAAAACGCCTCAATTAAGGAATACACCTTAAATCTCATTCGGTGTTCCTACTGTAATTTAGGATATATTCCTTAACTTAGCGGTTTCGGTGACGGGCTTAGGTTTTGAGGGCAAGAGTTTAGGGCTTAGGGCTTGGGGCTGATCATTCAGGCTTTAAGGCTTAGGGCTTAGCAGGGTTTGGAGGTTTAGCGTTTGGTTTGGGCTTCCAGATTTAGGGCTTAGGGCTGATGGTTTGGGGTTTGGGATGTAGGTGTTGGGGGTTTCAGTTTGGGCTTTACGATTCGGAAGGTGCACTAGAAAAGTGAGAAGATATATCTGTATATATATATATATATATACATACATATATATATATATATATATGTATATATATATATATATATACATATATATATATATACAAATATATATTCATTTATTTACATATCGGTTTATAGGCCCTAGACCCTAATGAGTAACCCTGCACGGTAATCTCTATAACATCGTGGACCCTACTTGAGCTCCATGAGACGGAGCAACCCGGCGATTCATGGGTCTATAGGTACCCCGAGGGTTCATATACACTACCATTATGGAAGTTGACCTCAAACGACCATCCTAATGATGGTTTGGGGGGCTTAATTCCAGCGTATATGGACCCTAAACCCTGAAGCCTAAACCCTACACCGTAGGTATCCTCGATGGGGCCATCCGGCTCACAACCTGACTACTACTTGGAGGGTCGGGAAACGTATCCCAAGGGCTCAAGTACCTAATAATCATATACTCTCCGAAATCCTAACCTACATAACTACTATCCGAAAACCAAGTACATAATTATTGGGTCCGTTGGACCCTTGGGGTAAGTACAGATTGTGAATGCCAACATGGAAGCTTGCATCCAGGTTAGGGTTTAGGTTCTTGGGTCGCAAGCGTAGCGTCCAAGAAAAGAAATCTAACAAATTGGCAGTACCATCCCTCTTGACTCTTGCATGTGCATTACAGTCCATCAACGGTTTGAAGCCCGTGACACCTTCAAACACCCCACACCAGAACGCAATACAAGTCCGCAAGCTCGAAAACACAGGGATCATTCTCCGCCTTCGTGCTGCAGGGGTTGAAGGGTCCTGTGCAGCAATCGGGGTTTAGCATTTAATATAGGGGCCTTAGTAATCGAAATAGGGTTTTGGTGCCCATTATACTGTAACTATAATAAGGAACCCCCAAAATAGTATAGGTAATTGTTCAGGCCCCTACCCCAAGGGTCCAAGTACCTAATAATCATATACTCTCCCAAATACTAACCTACGTAACTACTATCCTAAACCCGAGTACCTGATTATTGGGTCCTTTGGACCCTTAGGGCTATAGTAGGGTTTGCAGCGGTTTCGGTATCAGGGCTCATCTCGAGTTGGTCATTGACTTCGAACTCCTAACCCTGCCAAAACCGTAAACCTCAAACCCCAAAACCCAAAACTCTGAACCCCTAAACCCCTGATCCCCACTCAACTTAAAACTCTACAATCCTAAACCCTAAAACTATCCCTAAGCCCTACAGAGCCTGCGAAATCGCAGGTACCGGCCCCTTATGCACAAGATTGGCACTAGCATGAGGGCTTGGAGTTTGGGGTTCAGGGTTTTGGGTGCTTCGGGTTTTTATGGCTTTCGGGGCTCTTAGGCTCTTGGATTTAGGGCTCAGCGTCTGGGGTTAGCGCACGTCAGCCTATGGCGTACACCTACCACTCCTTACAAGGCTGTATCTGTATACTTGGAAGGGCAGGGGACTTAGTAAGTAGGTTATAAGTATGGTTATAATTGGGGTAACTCCTTTAGGGTACTCATATTTCTACTTAAAACCTACTTATACTTACTAAGTCCCCCTGCCCCTCCAAGTAGACCATAGACCCTAATCCCTACAAGGAACCCTATAGATCCCTTTAAGGAGCCCTGTAAGAACCCCTACTAAGTCCCAAAAGCCCCTCCAAGTACACGAGATCCGGACCCTCTGGGAACTACAATCCAAAGATCTAAAGCCTGAGATCTGAAGCCGAAACCCCAAGCCCTAAATCCTGAGCCGAAAATCCAAAAGCTGAAACCTAAGCCCTAACCACCGCAAGCAGAATCAAAAACCTTGATCCCTAAACCCTCTAAACCGTCAAGCGCAATCAGTGAATCCCAAATCCTGAATGCCCCCAGCGGCTATGTAGTGCAGAACCGCATTGCCGAAGCAAGGCAGGCATGAAGCAAAGGCTCTCAGAATTGCCGAACAAGCTCCGGCCGTGGCTACGTTGCTGCTAGTATCGGACAGTTAGAATTGGGTCTTGGTGGGTAGTATTGCACAGCAATAGCTTGCTTACTCCGTCCCGTGATCCTGCAAGGAGACCCTAATACCTAAGCATCATACCGAAGCCCGGATTCCTGCTTGTAGTTGCCGTCTATGCAGCTGCCTTCTAACACCCGGACGCCAAACTCTAAACCCCTAGCCTTTGTAGGTTCAATCAAAATAAACTTTAGAAGCTGCCCCCACCCTGTAATCGTGGTATAATAGGAATATAATAGGGCCCGAATATAATCCTTATAGTCACTATTACAGTGTGGGGGCAGCTTCTAACATAAACTTGATCCCCTAAACCCTCAATCGGCCTGAATTGCCACCCGTGCTGCCGCCGCCGCTGCTGGATCCAGAGCCCCAGTTGCCTTAGTGAGGTGTACTACTGCTGATGGACAAAATCCTGCATTACCCATTACAAGGAATATACCCTAGTTCCCATAGTTTAGAGTCCTTAAGGCAATGCAGGATTTTGTCCATCAGCAGTACACCCTAAACTCCAAAACTCCTAAACCCTATGCCCTAAGGCCCTAAGCCCTTACGGATGAAGACTTGGGGGTGTCGCTGCCCCAGAGAGTTTCAGATGTACTAGATTGTGGATCCAGGTCCAAAGCCATACCAAGGAAAATTCCATAAGGCGGTCGTACATGTGGACTCTCTTGGTATGTTTCAGAGCAACGGCAGGAAAAGCCCAACACTCCTCAATTCAGCATAGCATGTCATGTCGGGCTTTTGATCAGAACATATCAGAACTGTTATTTAGCGTTGCGAAGCTTTGGCGAGGCCTTAGTTACAAAAGGCCTGATGGGAGAGTCTTACATTCGCATGCCTTAGCCCTTAGCCGGGGCCCTATAGAAAACGTTGGCAATTCCTATAGACTGCAAATCATGAAACACATAAGCTCTCTCTCTCCCTCTCCCTCCCTCCCTCTCTCTCTCTCTCTCTCTCTCTCTCTCTCTCTCTCTCTCTCTCTCTCTCTCTCTCTCTCTCTCTCTCTCTCTCTCTCTCTCTCTCTCTCTCTCTCTCTCTCTCTCTCTCTCTCTCTCTCTCTCTCTCTCTCTCTCTCTCTCTCTCTCTCTCTCTCTCTCTCTAGTTTAAGGCTTACGCTTACACCAATTTTCAGGATATTTGTGGATGTCCACTCAGCACAATGCGTTGTTGTGCTCAGTACCGTGCCACGCTGCCGGGACTCTTCAGCGTCTGAACTTGCCATGGAAAGACCTGTCCTAGTCTCATAGAAGAGACAACTCAACTTCAAAACGACGTGCCCCCATCAATGTATGGTAACAAACACCGGCCCCGTATCAACAGCCCAATGTAGGGTTTAGGTCTTCTGAAACCCAAACTGTTCAATTCCTTAAAGGCTCTGAACTCCTCCCTCACTCTAAACCCTCAGGCACTGTAAACCCTGAACCTAAGCATTGAAACTGTTGATGTTATAAATCCTGCATGACCTTAAGGACCCTAAACTATGGGAATTATGGTATTTTCCTTAATATGGGTCATGCAGGATTTATATCATCAACCGAAGGACCCAATACTTGGGCACTCGGGTTCCGGACAATTCCAGAACTCGCAATCCCGCTGAGTCGTCTGACCTTCCCCGGGGAAACTTTTAATAAAGTATAGTAACATATCATAAAAGACATACTACAGATATGGTAATGAAGCAATAAGAAACTATCGCATATCTGATCTCAGATAGATAATACATCATAACTAATATATAACACAAAATGCAAAGTGGTATCAAATCTGTTCAAAGGCTTCGGGTTTCAGGATGCCTATGGCATACTATGGCTCTGCAAGCCCTGAATCTTACACTCTAAACCGCAGTTCGTGAAATACGAGGCAAAGGCAGCACACAGCTGCGATCAGCCTTTTGGAGGGTCATGGGACTTAGTAAGCATGGTTATAAGTACCTTAATTGGGGTTATAACTAAGTATATGTATAGTTACCTTAATAATAACACTTGTTACTAGGTCCCATGATCCTCCAAGTAAAACCCTAAAACCCTAACACCCTAAGACGGTTTGGCTTTCGGATGTCTAGTGCTGTGGGCTCCCCGGATCATCTGATGCGTAAGGATTTGTTGGTGCTTGATTTTGGGAACTGTAGCTAGGATACCCAGTAACCTAAGAATAAAAAGGCCTCTCTTTTTGGTATTGGGTAAGTTTATACGGAACCTAGGACTACAAAAAGGGAATAAGGGTACTACTGGGTATCCTAGGTAGTGCTTCGTGTGCAAGGCTTCCTGGCAGCAGCTACATGTAATCTTGGAACTGCTGTGCGCCACACTCAGCAAAGGTGAAAAGGGCGGCATCTGTGAATAGAGCGAACGCTGTGCCGGAGCCCATTCATTCACATGGGTGGTTGTCAAAATTATGGTCCTCTTTGGGTTCCTATCATAATACGGCACCTATTATTTAGGGTACCCAAAAAGGAACCCTAATTTTGACAACTACCCACATGGCTCTGACATGGCTCCGGATTGATACTGTAGCATCCCTTTTATCATTCCCAGACCTTCAAAAACCCTTCATTAAGGAATATAATACCCCAAATTACTATAGTAGGATCCCCTATATGAGCGCACCCTAAACCCTAAACCCTAAACTTCATTAAGTAATATAATACCCCAAATTACTATATTGGGTTAATTAAGTGAGTTTGGAAGGTCTGGGTCCATCGACTGCCGGGCAGAGGCTTTCGGCCAAAGCTGGGTCGGGATGTTGGGTGTAAGATTTAGGGTTTTGGGCTTAGGGTGTAAGATTTAGGGTTTAGGGTGTTGGGCTTAGGGTGTAAGATTTAGGGTTTAAGGTGTTGGGCTTAGGGTGTAAGATTTAGGGTTTAAGGTGTTGGGCTTAGGATGTAAGATTTAGGGTTTAAGGTGTTGGGCTTAGGGTGTAAGATTTAGGGTTTAGGGTGTTGGGCTTAGGGTGTAAGATTTAGGGTTTAAGGTGTTGGGCTTAGGGTGTAAGATTTAGGGTTTAAGGTGTTGGGCTTAGGGTGTAAGATTTAGGGTTTAAGGTGTTGGGCTTAGGGTGTAAGATTTAGGGTTTAGGGTTTTGGGCTTAGGGTGTAAGATTTAGGGTTTAAGGGTTTGTATTGACCGCCTGGCCTGCCACCAAAAACATCAAACTGGGTTCGGAGCTTAAATTAAAACTTCAAGCTTGAAGTTGACAAAACATTCAGCAACGATAAACAAGCCGCGAGTAACGCACGCTACATCGCAAGGTCACAACACAGCAACACAGTGTGTCAACCCACTATACCTTAGAAGAGGCCCCTACCCTGTAATAGTGGTATGATAGGAATATAGTAGGGCCCTAATATAATCCTTATAGTGACTATTACAGGGTGGGGGCAGCTTCTAAACTATACCCCAAAACCCTTCAGTTACCCTGAACCCCACCATTCCAAACCCAAACTCCGACATCCAGCCAACGCGCCCAAACTGAAGCTACTGGTGATGGACAAAATCCTGCATTACCCATTATAAGGAATATACCATAGTTCCCATAGTTTAGAGTCCTTAGGGTCATGCAGGATTTTGTCCATCAACAGCAGCTTAAATCCTGCACCGCCAAGCTGCTCGGAACCTGGAGCTTTACAACAACCCCGAAAGCCTGAAACACGTGAAACACAGCACGACCTCCAAACCCTAATCCCCGAATCTAAGCCATAAGCCATAAGCATAAGCCCTATAATCGGAAAAAGCAAGAAAGCAGGAACCGATGGCCAAAACCCTGAACCATAAACCCTAAACGAGGAACCCTAAACCTTAATTTGGGTTTCGGTTTCTTACGGGTATAGGGTTCAGGGTTTAGGGTTAGCAAAAGCCATAAGGCAAGAACTGAGAGTTTCCGGAAATGGGGGACCCTAAAATTTTACCCTAAATAATAGGGTCCTTATTATAGGGACCCCAAAATGAGGTGCCCCTAATTTCGGAAACTCCCAACTGGCGGCCTGAGCAGAAGCTCGACAGGCCCGTGCAAGTTGTGCTGCTACTGCTGCCGCTGCTCCAGGTACAGCTCCTGAGGGCTTAGATTTTAGGGTTTATAGTTTCAGACATGGGGCTTAGGGTTTAAATTATCGGGTTTAGGTTTTAAGGTTTCGGGAAGCTTGTGGTGTAGGGTTTAAAGTTTCAGGTACATCTCGTGTGCTCCCGGTCGAAGCATCAAGCTCCCAAAGAGCCTTGGGGCCCAACTGTTGCTAGCCGTTTCACCTGCGAAACTCTTCTGTCTGGTTCTTAGTAAGGGATGGGGGAATGGATCCCTATGATAGTCCCTCAAGGGTTCCTTGTAGTAGTTCTTATAAGCCATTCCCCCATTACCTACGAAGAAACCAAACAGTCTTCTAGAGGCATGATCTGAAAGGAGATGACCTTGCTGATCAAGAAGACGGGCGCTGTCACGATGGCAGCACCCATTAAGTGCCCCCTGTCGGCGTAAGCTCGACGGAGGAAGCAGAAGGACCCGTCGTGTAAGCACGACTTTCCGGCGTAGGTTGTGATGACCCATGACTCCCCATTTGAGAAGCGGTGCCCTCGGTGAGCTTGGGGAATATGCGTGCATCAGCAGAATCGGGAGCATCTTCGTGCTGCCTTTTGATGACTGGGCCAAGAGCCTTTTGCCTTTCTCATGCACTTTGTGAGGACATGCCAAACCCTAAACCCTAAACCCTAAACCGTGTCATGGGAGTGGGGAAGAGACCTCCTGACACGAACATGCCATCAACGACCTTTGTCGGATTGCAGCTGCCTCTTCCCGACCGCCGACCAGTCGGTTCAGTTCAAAAGAACAAGACATCCATCCGCGGTAGAAAATTGGTCAGACCCGGTCATGCGGTGGGAAGGATCTCCATTGTGGTTTAGGGTTTTTTGGGGTTCGGTTTTGTGGTTCAGGTCTGAGGGTTTGGGTTTCAGGCTTTTGGATTGGGGTCGTATGGAGTTGTTCCTTCACAGAGGCTTTGCAAGGGTTTATTGCTCCTTGTACTTTAGGATTCCGTGTAGCGCCAGGGTTTACCGTCCTTGCTGTCCGCACTTAAACCTAGAAGGTTCGATGCGGGCTTCTTCTACTGAAGAGCTGAGAGGGTGTGAGGAGTTCATGATTTGGGGTTTAACGGGTTTCGGATTTCAGCATTTCCATTTGTTTTGTTTTGGAGCTCTTTTTTTGCGTCTGGCCCTATGACAGCATCAGCAAGGCACAATTTCAGGGTTTAGGGTTTAAGGTTTCGGGTTTAGGGTATAGGGTTTAGGGTTTAGGGTGTCGGTGTCGGTTCTACTTATGGGCCTCCAGTGGTCCAGATCGGGCTTCCCGTAGACGAAGCCTCGAAAGGGCCTATGATAATTTAGAGCTCCTCCCGGAAGTTCATGGGGTCAATAGTAATTATGCTGATAGAATGAGGAGAGTGTTGTTGCAAAAAATGAGATTCGTATTTTTGATAAACACAAGATTACGACATTTCAAGAGGTCCCTTAACGAAGGGTTTTGGGACGGTGTTTCACCCACGGCTCCCAGGGACTCCAACGACCCTATCACGAAGAAGTATACGCTCTTAGATTATCATAGGAGCCCTGATGATGCCCATATGATGTAAGGTTCCACACCCGTGTTGCAGGGCTTTAGAGCTTGAGGCTTGTGGGAAGGGGTTTAGAGCTCAGGCTACTGCAAGACCACTACTGTCACCACCACCACTACTACTCCTACTGCTACTGCAACTGATACCACCTACTGCTTCTGCTACTGATACTGGGGATCGAAGAAAGTAAGGCCAATTCCATGCCAAGTCACGAGAAGAACTCGCAGTCGGACTTCCTTGAGTGCTCTTGGGTTCCCTATCTTCTATAAGGGTGCTAAAGTATAGGGGCTCTGGTAATTATAATAGGGCTATGATATATATATATATATATATATATATATATTCTAGTAGGTTGATAAACAGGAACCCTCAAAACACGATGAGACCGAGAATCCCCAAGAACTCGATGAGGCTTTAGGGCTTCGAAGCGTACGGCGAAGAACCTTTAGCTTTTATGTCTAGGGCTTGAGGCTGAAGGCTTAGAGTTTTTAGGGTTTAGGGTTTAGGGTTTAGAGTTTTAGGGCTTGGGGTTTGCAGTCTGGGTCTACTTGAAGGATCAGAGCATTTTGAACGTAAGCTGAAAGTAGGGCTTCGGGTTTAGGGTAGTAGGGTCATGCATTCGGGAACTTAGAACCGTAATTAAAACCTAAGCACCAAAGTCCCTCAATCATCCAAGCAAAGTCCTAATCCTAAAAATCTATCTGCCAAGAATGCCTTAAGCTTACAAACCCTCCACAAAGCGGCCACAGTGGACGACTAAGCGGGTTTAAAGTTTTGGGGTTTAGGGTTTTGGGTGGAGGGCCGAGGCCTTTGGCACGCAATATAAGAGGTCCGTAATATTGAGATTATGGGTAGTTGTCAGAATTATGGCCCCTTTTTCGGTACCCTAAATATGAGGTGCCGTATCATAATAAGGACCCGAAAAGGGACCCTAATTTTGACAACCACCCATATGGCTCTGTCATTGATTCCCTCTAGCAAGGTCTGCAACGGTTACTTTGTTTAGGGGTCTATGAGGGTACTTTAGTTAGGGCTTAGAATTCAGGTAAATAGGAAACCTCGAAAACAGCATTCATGATGATCCGGGCTCCTATAGTAGGTCACTTAAAGCTTTGGGGTTGTGGAGCAGTGTTTTTGGGGCTCTGGCACGGCTGTGTGCGAGATTCGGGCAAACTTCTGGACTCATCTGCTGGTTTTTGGGGCTTAGGGTTCAGAATTTGGGTTCAGGGTTTTGCCAAGGCTACCAAAAGCTTCAGTCGCACTTTGTTTGTACTACGATAACCATAGAACCTCGTACGAAGTCCTGTACCCCATGTTCCTAACCGATAACAAACAAACCATGCACCGAAAAGCGAAGTGCCAGTCTGACGCGCGGATTAGTCAAGGAGCATGTTTGAGGCCTTCTTCATCCCACCCTAAACCCTAGCCTGAAACCTCAGAAGCCCAAAACCCCAAGTACACACGTCTGTTTAATTAGTATGTCAGGGTTCCCAACACTACCTAAAAATGTCTGAAAATCCCGAACCACCTCAAATAGACCCGTCTGAACCAGAAAACACTTCCTCAAAGCCTTACAAAGCCCTACAATCCCTATAACACCATGAACAACCCTCCAGCAACTCCATAACAGCCCGCAAGCCCTCCGACACGCCAGGGGTCGTCGTCCCATCGCACAAGATGCCACCCGAACATGAGGCTTCCTCAGCATGAGGGGGTCAGGTCGCCGGGTTGTCTCTTGGGTGTTCCTTTGCGGGTGCCACAAGCGGCAAAAATGGAAAACTTTACATAGTTTAGAGCCTGGGAGTCTAGGCAGTCAGGTTGAGAGTCTTTAAAGCTTTCGGATGCTCCGCTAGGGTTTAGCTTTAAGGTATAGAGGCCAAAAAAGCGGCCGAGCCGCAGCAACAGCCAGCAAGCAGATGGTCACCAATGCCTTGTTTCTGAGATTCTGGGTTAGTGAGTGGTCCTTCGACGGGTTCCTTTCAGGATTATAACAGGGTTCTATGATAGTTCTAGCTTACTTCCCCAATAAGCCAGGGAAAAAACTTTCAGATTATATACTACTAAAATATAGAAACCCAAAATGCTTAAAGATTGGGTTTTGGAAAACTAAGCTAGAGGTGTTCGAAAAAGGATCCTGAAGGGGTTGAGGATTGAAGCCAGTACAGTTTAGGGGCGGGTTATTTAGATTGTAACAACGAGTCTGTGGGTCCTCTGTTGTTGCTTTGCGTGCATTGACCGGTGCTGGGTCTAATGTTTACGCTCTGGGTTTAGGATTTACGGCTTGCGGTTTCTTCGAGGGCTTAAGTCTTAGGCCTTAGGATTAAGGTTTTATGGTAGCGAAACGACTTTAAGATTGATCAGGTTTAGCTCAACCCTAGACCCGAAACGTGGTGAAGGCTTCGGTTTCAGGATGTAGAGGTTAGGGGGGGCACGGCTTGCCTCGGCCGCAGCATACTTTCAAGGAGTGCCATCTTCTTACCGCCAAGGCGAAGAATTGGCTTTGCTTCTATTCCCCTGAACCCTCAACTCTAAGGGTTCAGGGCTTCAGATTATCACGTAGTTGATTGGGGGACTCAAGGCCTCGCAGCTTCCAAGAGTACTGAGGCTACTCAGGGGTATCAGCTTGGGAGAATCCGAATACTACGGATGATGATATACATCCTGCATTACCCATAATAAGGAATATACAATAATTCCCAGTTCCCATAGCTTTGGGTCTTTAAGGTAGTGCAGGAGTTTTATCATCAACCGTAAGGAACCTGAATGTAGAACTGATGTAGAACCCTACATAACGGGATCATTGGTCGAAGGACAACCCACTGCTAAACCCCTCATTTAACCAGCCGCTTAACCACCCGTAGAACCCGATAAATTTGTTCAAGCTCTCTAACATAGGGCCTCAACGACAAGAATAGGGTTTTGGGGGTATGTTATACAACAGTAACCACAAGGAATTCAAGCTTCCATATTACATGTCGCACCCTAGGGGCTGAGTGCCATCGCCCACACAAGGTTAACCGTTTCAATCGTGGTAGGAGTATATGGGTGGTTGTCAAAATTATGGTCCCTTTCTGGGGATCCTAAATATTAGGTGCCGTATGATAATAAGGAACCAAAAACGGACCCTAATATTGACAACCACCCATATAAACCTCAAAAAGTTAAAGGTTACTTTCTCAACCCCTAAGTTCGTCAACCCCTTTATAGAATAGAACCCTTATAAGATCCTTTTACGGGAACCCTTAGAGATCCCTTTAAAAGAACCCTTATGGACCCCTTTACTAAGCACCGAAGTGGCATGCTGCCGCCGCGACGATCCGGCATCAGCCGGCACCATCGTTGCGTCGGCCGGCTGGCCTCCCTGATCCTATGATAAATACCTTTTCGGGCCCTCAACCTTAAACCCAAAGCCCTAAACGCCTGAAGCCTAAACCCATAACGCCTAAACCCATAAGGCCTAAACCCATAAGGTCGGAACCCTGAGTTCTGTGTTCAGGATATGTTTTTACGCATCTCAGGGGTTGTCTTGAGACTGCTTCTTGCCAGTGGACTTCGTGGCCAGGGTATGAGAATACTCCAAGCATGAGCAGAAAGCCTGCTTTTCTTCTTTGTTACATCCTTCGCTCTTTGAAGGCCATAAAGAAGAGCTGTGGGTACTTTTTAGGTTTACTTTCGGGTTTTGATGTTGTGTCTTCTCGGATTTAAGCGGTTGGGTCGAAGATTTAATGTACGTCGGAACCGCCTCATAGCGGTTACGCATGGGCTTCAGCCTTCAGCCAGTAGATCGCGCAAGTCATGAGCAAACACACAGCAGTTCATTGTAAAACAAGGCAATATTCTTGGTGAGGGTGTAGGACCCTAACTCCTAAACCCGAAACCCTGGGAGGTTGCTTGTTGGAGTTTAGGGTTTCGGATAATTTGGCTTTTGCGTTTTGGAGTTTAGGTTTTCGGGTCCCGGCTGGACCCACAACAGTTTAGGGCCTCGGGTTTAGCGTTTAGGGTTTAGGGTTTAAGGTTTAGGGTTTAAGGTTTTTTTAGTGGAGCCTGCCCCCAAAGAACGAACGTTTGCCTCGAAGAGGGGGCTGCTTCTTCATGCATCGAAAGAGTTAGCAAACAAACGACTTCGTGCTCTTTCCCGCTCTTCCCGATTCCCGAAGCTTGACTGTAAAAGAGCTTGAACACGGGGATCAGCAGTAGCCGTACAGCCACCTGTGCCACTTCTGCACAATACAGCCAGGCACCGAAGCACGTCCTCTCATTTTTAGCGCAGCTTCTGCAGAGTCACGCCGCGTGGGCCGCTGAATCAGTTTTCGTCAAGAAACTTACCTCGGTGGCCGGAGACGACGAGCTTCAAACACGTCTCCGGCAGGTGCTTAAACACATGGGCGTTTACCTGCAGTCATTATACCACACAACGACTCGTTCTCGCAAAACCCCATAACTCTATCGAAGACAGAGGCCGGCACGACGAGGACGATTTTGTCGGGCTGCGTGTACTCACAGGCTCGACTTTGTGCGCCGGTCACGCAATTTCTCCAAAACATCGCGCTTTCTGCCTCCTCCCTCTGCGGTGTTCTGAGTTGCAGACTCACCACACGGCCGTGCTGATTGAAGGCCACTACGTTCGACATCCCCTTCCGCGGTCTTTCCAGCCGTGGACTCTCGCTGATGAACACCGGGACCCCTGGTGGCCCCATCGGCTCTGTGGCTTCGAGCAAGTACTCCTCCAGCACATCGCTCGGCCTCACCTGCAAGCAAGCTTGACACGTCTACCAGGCGCTTCCAGGATGACACAAGTCTCCCGACGGTACTATCCTTGCGTTGAAAAACGATACTCTAACATCCGGGCAGACGATCTCCAGCATCAATGCTGGTTCGTCTGTCCTCACTATCTTAAGCGCTGTTCACGCATGCAGGCGGCCATACAACGACTCAGGCTTGGGCTTCTCTCGCATACGCCGGCGCTTGTACCTGGTCCAGTATACCGTTGCATTTCACGATTCCTTTGGCGGCCCTCTCAGGGCCTGTCGGGCCCATTATCGGAATCTTCCAGCACGTCATTACGGGCGAGTTTCGGGGGTGCGCAGGCACGCTACGCATTGAGACTCGGGCGGAGTAGACAAGGCTAGAAAAAACAAACGATACAACGAACTTGTTGCCACTGTGTTCTGTCTGTGTAGCTGCCGGCCTGTTAAACGTACTGACGGTAGCAACCGAGCCTAAACAGGGCTTGGCGTTGCTTCGCTTGGCAAGCGCTTCCAAGAAAGCCTCTTTGGACACCTGTCTGGAGTCTCTATCCCACATGTCCGGAAAGCAAAGGATGTCAACCCCGCCTCTGGCCAGTGCTGGACGCCTTTGCCGAGCAGGAAGGCAGCGATCTCTTTGAGAGGCATGCGAGGACTGCACCTGAAGGCAATCGCAATCCACAACTCAACCTACGGACCGAGCAAATACTAATGTCAGATCAAGGCACTTCACTCTGGCCGGATGCTCAGCCGGTGCATGAAGCAGAGACCACAGCAAATGCCGGCAATGTCGAGATGCCACGCGCGAAGCCAGCCCAGCCCAGCAGCCGCACAGCCCAGTCCTGCCCGGCTCCTAGCCCCAGCCCCAGCCCCAGCCCGAAGCCCCAGCCCCCAGCCCCAGCCCCACCCTACAGCCCGAGCCCCAGCCCCAGCCCCTAGCCGCTCATTCCCAAAATCAGGCTCCAGTCAAAAAAAACGTTTCGCTCAAAACTTTCGGTCGAAACTTTCGCTCAAGACTTATTGGCACCCAAACCCTTAACAATTTCTGTAAACCCTAACCCTGAACCTTCAACACTCTTTATCACATATATATATATATATATATATATATATTTTTATTTAAACCTTAATGGAATTCGTGGGCAAAGCGATTTTGGACCGGGCAAGGCCAAATCTTTTCGTGGGCAAGGCAGGGTTTGAGCCTTAGGGTTTCGGCCTTACGGTTTTAAGGCTTAGGGTTTGGGCCTTAGGGTTTGAGGCTTAGGGTTTGGGCCGTAGGGTTTCGGCCTTACGGTTTTGAGCCTTAGGGTTTGGGCCTTAGTGTTTCGGCCTTAGGGTTTGGGCGGCAGGGTTTGGGCCTTAGGGCTTGGGCTTTAGGATTTAGACTTAGGAAAAGGGCCCTAGGGTTTGGGCCTAGAGAGAAAATGTGTATTTCTGAATGTTTTGGGATTCTCTGGGTGGGTGGGTATTCTTCGAAGTCGAACTTACTAGCTCGACTAGAAACTGCTCGATCCGGAGCTGCTGAACCGTAAACCCCCAACCCTAAACCCGGAACCCTAAACCCCCAAACCCTAAACCCTAAACCCAAACCCCAAACCCTGAACCCCAAACCCTCAAACCCCAAACCCTGAACCCCAAACCCTCAACCCTAAATCCCCAAACCCTAAACCCTAAAACCCCACCCTAACCCTGAACCCTAAATCCCCACCTAAACCCTGAACCCCCTAAACACATCGCAAGCCCCAGGGCCTCGACTGAGGTCTGGGGTGCAAGGCTTTTTTTGGTTAGGGTTTGGGGTTTTAGGCTTTAGGGTTTAGGGTTAGGGTTTAGGGTTTAGGGTTTGGGGGTTTAGGGTTCCGGGTATAGGGTTTGGGGGTTTTAGGGTTCAGCATCGTGATTAAAGTACTTTGGAGGGGCGGGGGACTTAGTAAGGCTTCTTGAAGGGCTCCTTGAAGGGATCTATAGGGTTCCTTAAAGGGATCTATGGGGTTTAGGATTTAGGTTCTATAACCCGGAACTCTAAACCCTAAGACCCCATCTAAACCCCTGAAGCACTAAACCCTAAACTTGCAGGCCCTGAACCTTGCAGGCCCTAAAGCCCTAAATCCCTAAAATCTACGGTTTAGGGTTAAGGGTTTAGGGTTTAGGGTTTAGGGTTTCGGGGTTTAGGGTTTAGGGTTTTAGGGTTTAGGGTTATGCCCTAGAGCCCTAAATCCCTAAAATCTAAATCCCTACATTCCTAAATCCCAAACCCGAAAGCCCTCGACTCCTAAACCTTCTTATAGGTCCCCAGAATTTGCACGTAAGCAAAATTAGAGAAAGGGATATCCCATACAAACCCCGATATAATGAAGCCCAGTAAGGTAGGGATATCCCTATAAAATGCTTATGCTTATGTGCTGCTGTGGCCCCTAATCTTGTGCATTTCGACGCAGGGGTTTGGGGCTTAGTGTGGATTAGACTAGAAGGTTCCGGCGTCAAGACTGTAATTTGGGGGGAAAGTTCGACTAGGGGCTACTTTAAAGGATTCCCTTTCGATTTTGAATATTCTACTTGTTAAACAGACGGTTCGGCCTGCATTCGGCTTGTCCTGCTCCTTCCTGTCAACAAGGATTCGAGAGGAAACCTTTGAAACACTCAGACTAAGCGCGAGTGTCACGGGGGTTGATAGTGTGGTTGTCGTAGGCTTGAGAACATGTAGGTGCTTGGACGCATGGGGGACCGAGGATACTAGGAGACAGGAATCGGAGTATAACGAGAAAGCACTTATAGTCCCTAAACCCTACCCTAATGCTCCTGGACCCTCGTAGTGAGATCCCAAACCTTAGATCCCAAAGCCCAAACCCTCCCCCGCCGGGGATCCCATGACCCTCTTAGGAGCCATAGGGTAAACCCTGAGCCCAATTTAGTCCGACCTACAGCCCTAAGTTGCCAAGCCCTAAATCCTATCCTAAAACCTAAACCTAAGCCCTGAATCTTGACAGAGTCCACGCGTTCCTGAAACCAAAACGTCGAAAACAGGCCCGGTACGGAACCCTAAGGTTTTTGTATTAGTACTTCGGCAGGCTAAGCGGAGCCCTGGAAACCCAGCTGGATGCTTTCCATAGAGGTTTAGGGTTTAGGGTTTAGGGTTTTGGGTTTTTGAAGCTCACGGTGACCGGCAGGTAGAGCACGTTTGCCAGTGCATTTTCCAACGGCTTGAGCAACTCCTGCCGGGAAGATGAATGACTGTCAAACTTTTCAACCCGGGAGTTGTATCATGCACATGCTGCTCACTTCTATCGTTTTGCAAATGGCCTGACACCTCCACGTCCAGCTCAGAGGACACAGTGATCAGGAAGAGAAGGCAACTCACACGAGTGAAGCCTTTTTTATCATCCAAAAGTCGGTGCCTGCGACAGGGCAGAGCATCATCCAAGCTCGGTGCCTGGGATAGGGCAACAATCGATTGGCCATCTGTCCAAACGGTTGCCACTGAACAGGAAAATGATCACGCAAGTGAGCCAGTCGTTGACGGAAGGCAGGCCGTCGGGCGGAGTCTTGATCTCGAACTGGTCCAGGCGCACATACCCAAAGGTGGACTTCAAGCCAG